ACACGTCATGTACGGCCAGGTCATGGAGCATGGGGATGGAGGGGGGGGGCTGGAGAGGGGGGGGGGGGAGGGAGGAGGAGGATAGGAAGGGGTTTGGATGACATACCTTTGAACTGGGCAACGAGAGCCTGTTGCTCATCCGTAAGCATGCTCATCTGTCCGCCCCGTCCCTCCACTGGTCGTCAGAGTGCTGTGTCATCCCCCTCATTCCCCTCATTCGGCTGCTCATCGCTCATTTGACACTCCGCTCGCCGGACACTCTGCTCATCATCGCTCGCTACGGACAATCACACCCGTTTCAAAAATGCCCGTGGCTTTGGTTCACCATTGTACTGCATGGCACGTCGTTCTGGGTCGACATCAAGTCAATCGCCATCGTCATCGTCATCGTCGCTTTTATCCCTATTCGGTACGGAAGGGACCGAACGACCGTACCGGTACGGGTTAGCTCTCGGCCTCCACCACGAGCACAACCTTGCGCTTCCCGGCCTTGATGACAACTCCGCCAAGCTCGCTGATGTCGCTTGCGGAGACAACTGCGTCTTTTGACGCCACTCGTTCGCCGTTGAGGTACAGGCCGCCCTCGTTGGCCAGCCGCTTGGCGGCAGACTTGGACGGGGCCAGGCCGGCCGCTGCTGCGAGCGCAACTACCGAGGCGCCGTCGAGCGGCGCGCCCGGTGCCAGCTCATGCCGCGGATAGGCCGATGCCGGCGCCGCCTCGCCGTCGCGGGCATAGAGCGCGTCTGACGCTCTGGCAGCCTCGCCTGCCGCACCCGTGCCGTGAACCATCCGCGTCACCTCGGCAGCGAGCGTCTTCTGCGCCCGTCGTTCCGACGGCTGGGCAAAGTGCGCCGCCAGCTCGTCCTCAATGGTGTCAAGTGAGAGTTCCGTCAGCGCGCAGAGCAACGTGCGCACGTCGGCGTCGGGCGCAAGCGCAAAGTACTGGTACAGATCAAACGGCGAGGTGAGGCGTGCGTCGAGCCACACCGCGTTGCCCGCAGACTTGCCCAACTTGGCACCGTCGGCAGTGGTGAGGAGCGGGTAGGTGACGCCGACTGCGTCGGGCCGCTCGTGAGGCGTGCCGTCGCCGCTTCGCCGCCGCCGGATGAGGTCCAGCCCGGCCGTGATGTTGCCCCACTGGTCCGAGCCGCCAATCTGGACCGCCACCGCGTCCGACTCGTACAGATGGGCAAAGTCGATGCCCTGTACCATCTGGTACGCAAACTCGGTGAATGAGATGCCAGTGCCCGACTCGAGCCGCGAAGCCACAGCGTCGCGGGCGAGCATGGCCGAGACCCGAAAGTGCTTGCCGTACTCGCGGAGCAGCTCGAGCGCGCCCATCTCCGCCATCCACTCGGCGTTGTTCCGCACCTCCATCCGCCCGTCAAGCAGCTGCATCCGCAACGACGCCTCGATGCTCGCCATGTTCCGCGCCAGCTCGTCAACAGGCATCAGTGTCCGCTCCGCCGTCTTACCCGATGGATCGCCCAGCAGTCCCGTCGCCCCGCCGAGGAGCACCACCGGCTTCACGCCCACTGCCGCAAACCGACGCAACATGACCAGCGCCACCAGATTGCCCACGTGCAGCGACGAGGCCGTCGGATCAAACCCGGCATACACCCCCACATCCGCCCCTCCATCGGCCGCGTCCACCACCGCTGCTAGCCCATCGCGCGAGGAGCAGTCGACCACAAGCCCACGCGCCTCAAGCTCGTCCACAAACCGCTTCCCGGCGCCCGACCCCGCGCCCGTGCTCGCGCCCACAGCCTCACCGCTTCTCCCCTCAGAGCCCGCCCACACCCTCGTCGCCGCACATACACTCCGCCATCCCCGGCACTCTGCCCACGCCGTCCTCGCCAGTGAGATTGAGCGCAACATAGTTGGGTATGCCAGCGCCCGCCCGCCCGCCTGCTCAAATTCGACTCAACTTGACGCGCTGCTGTCGGGAGTGCCAGATGGCAGTCTTATTGGCGGAATTATTGGCGCGACTGTTGACCAAAGTCGCGTGGACCCACAGCAACCTTGCCGCTGTCAATGCACATAAGCACGCTCTCATCCCTGCCTTTGCCCGCATCTATCTGTCTACAAAACCAGAATATCACATCTCCTGCCAGTACTCCTCTCTCCACGCTTCTCGCGTACATCCCTGGTCGTCTGCCCTTCAACAACACACAATCGTTTGACCAACATGTCGGACTGTCCCGGCAGTGGCCGCAAACGTTTTCCCACAGACCCACATTGCGTCGCCTAGTTGCCACCACGCTGAACACAGTCGCTCTCATAGCCACTTCTCCTCACGCTTCACCTTTTCGACTCTCTTCCTTTCTTTCTCTCTCTCTCGCCCTTCCACACCTTGTCGCCATGGCAGCCGAAGCCGCAAGCCAAGTCATCGTCACACAACAGTACGTGTCAAGTGACCAAAATCGATACCATTGATTAAGGCATGCTCCCCTTCTTCCATACCCGCTCATTTATGCTCCTCGGCTAACCACCCACACCACCACCCCTACCAAGCATCCACTATCAGCCTCCATCTCCTCCACATACGCACGCACACGCAAATACACCTTTTTATCCTGCTCTCTCTGTGTGTGTTTGTCTCTCTCTCTCTCCCCTCCCCCCCC